AAAAAATTAGACTGCCTGACGTTTAAACACTTCGAAAAATATAACTGCATAATCTACTTACCTGATGGAACTTTGCATAAATTCAAATGTCTGAAGACTGTGTTGATTTAGTGAGCTTGTCTTCTAGCTGATCAAGAACCACCGTGTATAGGCTACGTTAAGTGTGGAAATTTGCAGTGGAAAATATTTTTTCCAGCGCCGTGATTGCGATTTGATAGATTCTGCCTATAATACAGTTAAGGTATTTCGATCGTCATAAATAGCGCTTCACGTGTATGTTTAAACTCCAACTACGTCGCAAAGTTCGCGGATTTGACTGCACTCAAATTTTCATAGAAGTAACAGTGATTACCAATAATTCTTGTTGATAAATTAATTTTCCAAAAATTTGGATAAACGATGCAAAAAATAAAAACACCTTCATTTTTCTTCAAAGTTAATTTTCTCGAAACTCATCGCAGAGATTGCAATAAATTTTTCAGAATCATTTCTTAATAACTGACATACTGACGAAGTAAAAACCTAAATCTTCGAGATATTTGAGCATTTCAAATTGTTGCTCAAAACGATGAGGCCATGTTTAAACTCCTCGATCGTTGGTCACAATATTCGAATGTTAAATGAAAAAAGCTATACATTTTTTTCTACTAAATTTTGTCACGCTGAAAAATTAGTATAAAGCGGATATGTTAACAATGAAAAAAACTATACATTTTTTTTTTTACTAAATTTTGTCACGCTGAAAAATTAGTATAAAGCTGATATGTTAACAAACGCACACGAGTTGCTGGATAATGGAAGTCGAAAACTTTCAAACATTTTGTCGTAATGTAGCCCTTTCGGAAGCTCAAATATATCTGTTCTCAAATATATTTGTTTGAGATGGAACTTTGGTTATTTGAGCGATAACGCGTAATGTTTGAGGAGGAAAGATTCTTTTATGCTCCAAATAAAGTTGTTTAAATTTCGAAAATATACTAGTTGTGTAAATGGCAATAACGTTTTTCGTAGTAAACTCATGGGCATGCGCCTTGGACAACACATGTCWACAGTTGTACGAAAGATTTAGCTTTTAAGCTATAGTAGTCTTTTCATTTAACATTCGAATATTGTGACCAACGGGGACTTTAAATATGGCCTCATCGTTTTGAGTAACACTTTGATCGAAATGCTCAAATATCTCGAAGATGATTGTTAAGATTTTATTCAAACTTCGTCAATATGCCAATTATGTTATTAAGAAATGATTCTAAATTTTTTATAACATCTCTGTGATCATGGAGCTTTGAGAAAATTAACTTTGAAGAAAAATGAAGGTGTTTTCATTTTGCATCGTTTATCCAAATGGCTTCATTTTTTTTGCCAAATTAATTTATCAACAAGAATAATCGATAATTACTGTTATTTCTGTGAAAGTTTGAGTGCAATCGAATCGACATTTGCGACGTAGCTGGAGTTTAAAAATATGCGCGAAGCGCTAAAAAAGAAAGAAAAAAGAGTTTTTAGAAGTGCATGATCGAATCGAGAATCTAACCTGCGATGGGGAATATGAAAATGAGATAACAGGGGGTTAACCGACTTAGCGACAAATGGACATTCTAGAGTTTTTTTGCATAAGACCAATATACTTTTGAACCATACAATATATTTTGTTATACTACTGGGAATTCAAAATCCTTTATTTTCTTTGTTTGGCAATTAGGAAAGCATAGCTTTACTTATCATAAACCTTTCAACCCTCACACGGTTGCTTGCAAATGATAACAAATTCATGAAATTGCTGATTTGACACAAAATTGTAATTAGTGTAAATAATTGCGTTAACATGCATTCATATATTTTTTGAAATGCATTACTTATTTAAGATCATTGTTTTTAAATTCGCAATTTCGAAAATATGTACTTTGAAAAGTGTTTGAAGATCGGCAGGCAAATGTTTTTATATGTTCCCTAAATATCCTGATGCTGTTTACACATCCTAAGTTTGTTGCTCATTATACTTTGTTATATTTATTTTTCATAGGAAATAAGCTATGATCTATTAAATTTCCTCAAACAAACGTAAGTGTCTTTCGGTTAGAAAAGTGCAAAGTTCTATAACAGTAGGCAGTAACCATCTTGGGTGTCGCCAAATACTTGAAATACATTTATAGTCTTTGAGATTTTTGAAAATATGTTCTATCTTTATCCTTT